CGATTGTCTAAGTCTGGTTTTAGTTCTAATTAGTTCATGCACTCTGGTAATGTTTCCCTTGAGTCTTGTTTTATCCAAACCACACGATACTTGATCAAGTTACTCACTAGTGTACTTTGGTAGATTATAACGTCTACCAAATAAACAACATAATGGGAAATAAAATTTAAAAAATATATTATTCTATTAACTTGCTGAGATATAGTTTTCATGGTTATAGTGTAGCGTGGAGACAATTGACGAAAGCTCAGTCCATTTTCACCCAAAACGAGGAAGGCGGTCTCGTGGACTGCGCCAACCTGAACGTCGAATTAGGGTCAAACGGCTGTAGTACAACGGAATTCAACCGTCCTCTTCTGGTGAGATCGATCTTCGAATCTCTTCTTCATGCACTTTCATACGAAATGAAAATATCTCCAACAAAACTGAACTTTAGTCGAATAGCTCAATAAAATGTCATTTATTAGAAGCTTTACCGAGTTTCGCCTCCTGCAAAAGTTACGTTCCAATTGGCTTCCATGATCTATCACTGCTGCTGAACTCTGCCTATTTTATCCCATATTCAAATTTATGCGCGTCCCTATTGCCTAAGTTCAAGTGTTTGGTTGTGTTTACAATTATGTACATCAATTTTTCCTATTGGTGAATCGCATTTTTCATATGCTTTTGTCATTCTGAACGGCCATTTTTTGGCTTCCCATATGTAGATGGCGGTAATACATTCATTTGTTATGAGCCAATAGAATAATAGCTAAGAGTATTTGGTGCATCCTATGTACCGATCATCAATAAAATCACTCTGCACATCATTTTTATCAACCTAACAGTTACATGATACATCATACTCTTATCCTTTTAAGTGCTATGGTGACCCAAAATTCTAAAATCTGCTTATCACAGGCGTATTCTACGTTTTCTGAAAAATGTATAAACTCATGAGATACTTTCTTAAAATCTCCCTAAGTCCTGTCTAGCAAATATGGAATTGATAAAGTGCAAAATTTAGGAATAATCCCAATTGAAATGTACAATTAAAAAAAACGAATGTTGGTTGTAAGTCTAGGAGTTTCGTTGGATTCCGAAAATACACCTATCTAATAGATGGGACGACTAAATATACTAAAAGATACAAAAGAATGTTAGATTGACCATTTCTGATGGCTAAGTTGATAAGGAAGAAACCAAGCGAGCAAAGGATGTGTATTGGAAATCCATAAATGCTGGTTTCCTCTTTAGTTTTCTCTCCAACCAAATGTATGCAGCTAAAGTAGAAATAATTAAATGAATGTCATTGTCTAAATCACCAGGACTATAGAATGAAAGTGTTAAGGAAAGTTCCAGCTTGAAATAACAAGTCACAAATACTTATTGCCCAAAATGTTTAAATACAGAGAAAAATTAAGACGTTACCGCTTAGCTGAAGACTAGGAAGTCAATACAAATATAATAAATAAAAGATGCTCTTAATGAGAAGAAGTGCAGGTGATTGGGCAGAAATTATCGCTGGCTGATGGATAGCATTAGAGAGGGAGAGCAAGAGGAGTCATCGAGTCGGGGCAGCAACCTTGACTAGCGTGTAGTCTAGCGAAGACCCCGAGCTATGATTAGACTCAGGTAAAATGCATACTTACAAACAACTTGAAACCACCCACTAGAGCACACAGCTTTACAGGATAAAACTAGTGATTATTCATATGCTACTACCAGTCTCTCATCACCTTAGAAGAAATTGGGTGAATACATCTCATATTACTGATTTACTGGTAGTCTCGAAACTCTATTCTAATACGAAAATAGTGATTATCCAATTAATGAAATGGATGTTCAGATACATCCCCTTCACAGTTCGTGCATTAACTTCACTCATTTTCAGGCACGTTGGGTAAAGTATAAAGTGTCCAGTCAAATCTTGGGCTGCTGCCTTAGAACCAGAAAATTAGGCTGCACAACATAAGTTGGATTGCCGCTGGATGATATTCTGGGTTTGAGGCTTGGTGACGTTTATTGTAGAATGGTTATTTGCTCCGATGTAGTCCATCGCGGCAGGGGTCGCAAGACAATGACTTCACGTCGAAGACTTGAAGCTAATGCCTCATTGGATGCTGGCAAGCTACAATTTATGAGGCTCTTTCAACCAAATCTTCCTACGAAACAAAAAAATTTAATTTAATTTCTGCTAGATCTTCAATCGTCAATTGCATGCGATCACATGATAGACCCAAATGCTGACTTATTTTTGAGATTGAGATTTTAGTTGCAAGCATCTTTTATGCAACGAAACTTGAGGCTCCTTTTAAGCGGTTGTTGTTAAAGCGAAAAAATGAAAATTTGAGGCAAATTTCTTTTTTGCTTCTCAGGCATTTTTATTCCAATTGTACTCCATTAATCAGTTTAGTGTCATTTCATAACAAAAAGCAGTTACCTATTTTCGTTTCATCCTTCCTCTGTTTTTTATATATTTTTATATTTCTTATATACTTAATTCTCTCTTTCGTCTTTCATCTTCTTCCCTCATCACCTCCTTCCATAAACTTTGCATCTATCACGACTGGGTGCTCCTTACTTATGGCTTCATCTACATTCCGTTGACAGGGCTGGAGTTCTTTGAAACCTCTGCCAAAGAGAATATCAATGTAAAGTCCGTCTTTGAACGTCTTGTCGACATCATTTGTGACAAGATGTCGGAGAACATGGACAACGAGACGGCAATGGCAAGCGGAACAACGAAAGGTAAATAAAGGCCTCGCTACAAGCGTGTATGGTCCTTATTATTAAAATTAATCTCTGTTCCCTATCTCATGAACAGCTTTGTACTTCCAGGTGGACCTGAGTTTTGGCCAATCCTGGGTGTTATCGGTACCTCCAGCGTGGGCTTTAATGGGGTCATTGGTGTTAGTCAGCCAATCCTTACCATTCAACTATACTCGGACTTTCATTGAGCTTTAGAAGGACCTCGACCCTTAAGTCAAAACGATCTCATCAAAAGATAAAGTTGTACTGCGAAAGATTAACATTTGAGATGTATTCAGCCTATTTAGTTTAAGTGATGAAGGATCGGAAGTCGAACTTTTCAACAATGACCTTACATTTTCATTGAATTTCGCATATCCTTGTTTCGCAAACGGTATTCTCATCCATAATTGCAGTCTCGGCCTCGCCTGAACCCGTCTCATCAGCACTGCTAGCGGGAATTGAACCCGGATTGTGGTGGTACAGTGTATAATCTGGACACGTTAACCACTATCAAAGACAACTTTGCTTCATCGACAATCCCACCACAAAATGTGATATAGAGAAAGCTATAGCTTGTCCCAAAATTCACATCTTCCCTGTGACTCAAGGGCACTCGTGGCAATGCGGCGTAGTGATTAGCGTGTTGAGATTATAGGCTGCCCAACTAAAACTCGAGTTCGAGTCCCGCTGGGGACAATGATGAAGCCAGTTCAGATGAAGTCGGAACTGCAAGGCTATTTGAAATTCTATTGAAACTTAAGGTCCGTTCATAGCACTGTGGGAAAAATTCAACGATTAGTCCTTTATCACCTGACAGAAATATGATAAATACATCTCATATATATGATCTACTAGTAGTCTCAAAAGGCTACTTAAAAACGTTAAATTGCCTTTAATATGTAGAATACTACCTATTGGTTAGCATTAATGAACTGGCCACTATAAGTCGCTATGATGAGGGTTATGCTGTTCTCGATGAAATGAAAAGACTTGCTAATGCGTTTAGCCCCAGTTTCTGTCCCAAAAAGCCAGTATGTCTTCTGCCAACCGAGTGGTTTGATGCCATTATACGCCAATTGTGCATAGTTTTATGGGAAATTAGTTTAGACTAATTGAAGCTTTGGTATCACAATGAAAAGCTTTGCGCCTTGCCATTCAAGATTGAGTTGGACTGCAGTTTCGACCTTGCTCAAGTCTCTTCAGCACACCAGTTCCCATCCAGACAGCGGATGAACAATTACACTTGGTTGATGTGTGGCTTAGGGGTTGGCCTGTTTTCTCTGAACCCTCACGTCTAAGCCTAGAATTGAACTGGGGTGTGTTGATGAAACATGGGCCATGCCGAAACTCCAGTTTGGTCCTGATGAGAACGGTTTCTTTGAATGTAAGGCGCAGGGAATTTCAATGCAAATGCAAACCTCTATTTCATTATCAGTCATTTTAAAAGCTATATGAAATTGGTGCATATTCACAACAATCAGGTTTCTGTCGCCTTGACCAAACTTTAACAATTGCTAGCCTTCTTCTACATTCACGCCTTGGCTTCCAGCCAAGCTGAGGTTGATGGGGAAATACAATCGAGAAAGAAACTAATTAAGATAAAACAAATTCAATGGCAAAATGAAGTCTTGTATTCATATGATTTTGGAAACTATAACCAGCTCGCCTTAGGTAGGCATAACGACAAATGGAGATCATTATTCCCTTTACGAAAGGTTGGCCTTCTTAGGCAAATTTGTTAATGAATGAGCTAGAAAGACTTAGTGGTGCTTTTGGTGAAAGGTAACGTCTGCCTAAAACGTAAAATAAATACCACTATAAGTTATGAAATACTTTGCTCTTATTGAAGTTTAGACAAAATACATCACCATTATTGCACTTATCCCGATTATTCTGCAATTTGCTTGATATTTAACATTTTGCAGAATATAA